ATAAACTACCACAAGAACAGTTAGGTATTGACTCATAGTTCATCAATTCATCTTCTAGGGTTTGAGCTTGGAGAAACAAACACTTACCATATCCTTATTTTGGAGCAAGGCTGTTATATCTTACTTGATTTCATATATTCTTGAAGCATTTTGCTATACAAAGCGTTGCTCTAGTTCTATCCACAATTGGTGGGTTGTCTCTGCATACACGATAATGCACTTAATATCCAATGACATAGTGTTTTGAAGCCAAGTGATTATAATGTCATTGCATCGTAACCAATGTTCTACCAGGGGATCACTTGAGTCAGTTGGCTCCTAAATACTCCCATCGATGAAACCCAACTTGTTTTTTTATCCTAAGTGCTCTCTTCATGGACCTTACACAGGAATAATAGTCGCTTGCATCAAGGTGGTGAGTGACCAGTATGGCACCACTGCCGTCATTGCTGCTAATGTAGTAAAGACTACTTGGCGATGTAGGATCATAAGCTACTGCTTCTGCTTCACCCAAGGAACTTGGATTTGGAATTGGATTGGGATTTTGAGTAACATTTGGATCCATGCATTCAATTTCTGCCATCACTTGCTTTGATACCATATAAGAATTTGCTCGAATGAAGAAAACGGAATTGGAGGAATGAGATAGTTTTCTCATTGTATTGATTCTTGTGTATTATGCTATACAATTCGATCAATATTTAACAAAGAAAACAAGAGAATATTCCCTAGCAAATTAGTTACAACCAACTGTAAAAAAAATAAGAGAGAAAATATATAACAAAATGTCAGATAAAACTGGCCTCTTCATTTTTCTTCCAGAGAGTTCTGTGCTTGTGCTTCCAGAATGCTTCTATCCAGTTCATCATCCACGTAGACTACAGATGCTTGCTAGATTGGCTGACTTGCATTTTCTGATAACATCATATGTATAAACAATCCATGCAATATACTACATATGTTGATCCATATCCTGGAAAAGAGCTCAAGAATCTAGATTTTGATTATTTAACTTTATGAGTGAAGTATTATATGAATGTAACGTGTGAACTTCAGTAAATATTGGTCAGATTTAGGATTCCTCTTCAAAGATTATCTAAACATTAAAGAGATTCATAATGTGGAAAAAGGCTCAAAGAATCTAGAATTTGATTGTATATATCTAAATTTTATATTTTGTCGGTGTTGAGTGAAGAATTTTGTACATATAATGTGAAATTCTATATTGCTGTCAAAATTACTCATTGAGAATTTTAGAATCATCTATTATAAAAATTTAAACTAAATGATTAATTCAGTGATGCAATTGCTTTTAGATTAGAGTGACTTCAATCAACCATAAATACACATTGAGGAGAATAGAAATTCAAACAGAAAAAGAAAACCAGAAAAAGGTTGATTCATTATGAAACTAGTTGTATTGCTTGGGTTGTTATTCACAACCCTGATTAGCCGATCTGAAGCAAAAGTAACTGTTGTAATACAAAATGCTATACCTGGTGGAAGAAGTTATATGCATTGTTTTTCCGGGGATGATGATCTTGGGTATCATGACCTTGGATCCAACCAAACTTTCACATTTCGTTTCCATGTAAACTTTTTTGGAACTACAAGATTTTACTGCTACTTTAAAACATTTTATGGTTTTGGAGCGTATGGCGTTTTCACAAACAGAATGTACCACAAGTGTGGGGATTATTGTCTCTGGTCCGTAACCCCGAAAGGCCCATGTTTACACTGTATAGAGGGTGATTTATATTGTCAACCATGGAAGAATGGTAAGTCCCTGCTTGAAGCATTACGGCTTACTATTTAAAGATATAATAAATGTTGTAATCTTGTTCATATTAGAATTCCAGTTTCTCATTGGCACCAGATTACAACCTTATGCTTTTCATTGATGAATTGAATAAAACATAGTCTATTATGGTTACTATGTGTAAGAAATATTAAATGATTAGTATGTAAAAGTCGTAGACCTGC